ACTCATTCTCACTTAATGCATTGTAAGAGCATATGCAAGGGCAGTTCCTATGGACTAGCAGATACACTGCCAGTTTATCCACAGCAACTTGTTTTCCTGCCCCTACCTGCAGTTCACGTGCTCTATTATGCACATTAAAAATACTGTGTGTGCTCCAAAAATAACCTTAAAACTGATGCTTCATTTCTGCCTAGCCTCAATAGACAGAGCCTTTTTTGTAGCAAATTCTAGAGCTGATACTTTTCCCATAGGGATACAAACCAGCACATGCAGACCACATATGCATCGCAGCAAAGACTGCAGTTCATCAGCCACCCATGGGCCCTAATCCATTAATTACTTTGCCTCTGACCCTTCATTCACATCCTAGAGATCTTTCGCTCCCCAGTTTAGGCTAGCCACTATGAACAAGAGAACACATCTTTTATGCACAACCTATATCCAATTTTATCCACTTAAGACAAACTAAACATGCCTTTTTCTTTTATCAGTTGGGTTCTTGCATTTTTTTTTCAGATGGCAAAATAATCAAATTTGTAGACTCTCTTTGGAAAACAGGTTTACCTGGAACATTACTTAAACTTTAGACCTCTGGCTCTGCAAATAAGATGGACATGGGACAATTTTTAAGGGATTTCAATTGTTTGATCTATAATGAACACTGATAATCCAGCATGTGAACACTGCAGATATTTAAAATAAAACTCTATCTAACACTTTACTACATTGGCTACTTACTTCCTTTGATAAAACACACCAGATATGCTACTGGTGCTGTTGATCACTCAAGTAATTATTATTAAGTAATTATTTATCCAGTGATAATGGCTATCGGCCTCAGCCACAGACCAGAGCCCCATAGTGTTAGGCAACGCACAGATAGGCACAAAGGCTGTCTCTTCCACAGAGCTCTGTGGCTGTTCTAAAAAAATAGAGAAAGAATTTGCATCTTCCTCCACCAGGTAATATTTTCGTGTAAGGTTAAAACGCATGTAGCTTGAAATTCAAATTGTACCGAACCAAAGCACCAACTCATCAAGAGATCCAGGAGTAATTGTTTTTATTTTAGCTTTTGTTTTTAACCTTTGGAAGAGCTAACACTACTGTTAAAGGAAAGGGGCGGGTGAGAGGAATTTCATAATCACTTATTCTTCCAAAGGTCTAATATGGCACTGTACAGCTTGTTCTTATTTGGGTAAAAGTAGTGTGTCTGTGTGTGTACAGCAACATGCTATTGCACCACTTACGCTGGCAGAGTTACATGTGTTGTACCAACTGGAACAATTTCCATGGACTTTCCCCAGAATTTGTTTTTCCATCTTACATCTGAAACAGGAGGAGGAGGGAAAAAAAAAAAAAAAAAAAAGGTCATGTTTAGTCATAGGCACTGCCAAATCAATCTATTTTTGGACTTTATTTCATTCTCAAGAAAATGTAAAATGACAAAGTGCAACATAATACAGTTTTCAAAGTAATGCTATGGACCTTTGAATAGTTCCATGTTTTTTCATTACATTACTGGTTATTTAAAAAAAAAAAAAAGGCACCAAAAGTTTAGACAAGATACATCTGTTAAAAACTTGTTCAAAAGAGGGGAATTTGAATTAGCTATTTATAGACAGTATACATTCGTCTGGAATTCAATACTGCTGGTGAATGGATGCAGACGTTTCCAAAAACTAGAGCAGGGTTTCAGATACAAAAATATACCACCTAAAAACATCTGCAATAAAGCAGCAAGAGAATGATTCAGAAGGCACAAGTTGGAGAGGGTTTTAGTTCAATTTCCCCTAGAAGTTTAACCGGCCTATTTAAAATCTGGTTTGAATCATAGAAAGAGCTGTCCAGGTTTCATGTCGTTTTCTCCAAAAGACAGCTCAATGCAAGTTTAGGCAAATTTATGAAGGGGTTTATTAAGTTAGCAAAAACACCTGCAAGCAAAATAAACATGGGCAGAGAAACATCACACAAGGGGTATAGTTAAATCGGGCTAAATAACCAGGCAGTAACTTTCATAGCAGCTTCAGAGCCTGGGGGGTGGCATCCTTGCTAGACACTAGGAACTCCAACTGCTTCCCATCTAATCTGAGAACGATGGAAAAATTCATCTCTAGTTTCAAAAAGATGCTAGTACTAATATACAAGGAAAATCGAAACACCATGTCCCATGCAATTGTGGGGAGGAAGCTGTTACGCTGGCTGTGAGATGGATGCTCAAACTGCAGTTAGGAGAGCATGCATCTTCCCAACACGTAAGTGGCAGTGACAGGGCTGAGCCACTAAGCTGCCTACCGCTGCAAAGGTGAGGGAATGGGACATAGGAGAGAATTCCTAATAGACAAATGATTCTCGTCTTATCACTTCAGAATAGGACCTCCCTTTTGGTTTGGAGGGTTTATGCTGTGTCAGCATCTTTGGCAAAAGAAATTCTGTTGTAATTCCTATACTGTATGATAAGAGGTCCAAAACTACCCTGATTATGATGGCATTTAGCCAAACTCTGTGCTAACTTTCTCTTCCGTAGTGGATGGAAAAGAAAGGGCAAATGCAAGATTAAAATAAATAAATACTAAGCTACATCTAACCTGCTCTTTATTCTATGCTGAAATAGTTACATTCTCCAAGTATCTACCACCAAGTAAGAGAGATGTCAAGAACAGACACACCCTGCAGAGGGTCAAACTGTTGAACTCTAGCAGACTTGTGTTCTACGTTCTCATAAATGGCAAGGCTGTCACACAGTGATCAGTACACTGGAAACATCTTGGGAATCAGTGTTTAACTTGATAACCCAAAAATTTTAGGACAGCTAACAAAGTGAACCATTATTTCAAAGCTATGCCCAGACCAATTCAGGTGCAGATACTGTAAATAGCTGGAACTTCCTATTTTAGATGTCTATTGTACATGTATCCGCACTCCTCCTCTGCAAATGAGCGCTACAAAAAAATAGCGTCAGTCTCATAAGGCACAAAAAACAGTTTTCAAAATAACTGCCCCTGTCAGAACTCAGTCTTCCGGCTCGCTAGACATGATCATGAGATTTCTGAATGCTGTGACTGAGAAACTGAGGTCAATGCGTGATAGGATGACAGCATTGTCAGGAAAAGGAGAAAAGAAAACCGACAGAAGTATTTTACAGAAAACAAACATAAGTATTAAATGCATTTCATTTCTTCAGATACAGTAGAACATCTGAATCCCAAGAGCCTTTTGCTTAAGTACAGTGACAGCTTCTTAAATTTACAGAGCAAATATAAATCTGATCTCTGAACTCTACCCTGCAGCCTTCCTAAATGCAGTGAGGCCTGTGGAAATTTTGCACCTCTGGCAACGTAGCTGAGGTCCGACTTCTTGGATATCATATCGTAAGCAAAAGGATATTTGCACCCAGGAGGAACTTGCCTCACTGATAAGCTACCTTTAGGATGAACGTAACATTAATCTTTTGAATCTAAATTAGGACAGCCCTATAGCAAGAGCCACAGCATTTACGAAAATCATTGTCTGTCTCCCACAAACTCAACTAGCCGCTTTAAAAAAAAAAAAAAAAAAAAAAAAAAAACACACTGCTGCGCCCTGACTCAGTCTCCTGGGGCATCAAAGGCAGAGCTCAGATTCTCATTCTCCTTGCTCAGCTTCCCAGCTCTTATCTTTAGAGAAGAGCCTTGTTCTCTAAATGCATGTTACAACAGTTGCCAGATGACCATTTTCAAGATCTTTTAATAAATAAATCAGTCTCTTTAGTTTTTATTAAGACAGGCTGCTATCTAGTCTTCTATATACAGTATTGAGTTACTGAGTAACTTTTTGGTCCTCTCTGCTTTTTGAAGTACAAAAGTTTCCTGTCGTGTATTTTACAGAGCGCAGAATTAGGCTGAATAATGAAATCCAGACTAATGAGAGAGGTCTGATTTTTGTTCAGCATGGCTCCATCCACAGCAACTGTAATCAAGTGAACAGAGTCAATTGTAACAGAATTAACACAGCTACATTGTGAATTGACCAAACTCTGGCTGAAGGATTTCAGCTCCATTAAAAGGCATGGTTATGCTCTGTGTACACTCCAAAAATACCTAACCACGTAGATATTGTAACTGGCTGACATCTTCACCAGAGTTACACAGCAAATGACCAGGGTTACACAGCAAATGCACTTTTTTTTTTTTTTTTTTGGAAATACTGGATGTTAGTAGTCCATCAACACAAAATCCTACCATACTGTAATAATGCTAATGGAGAAAGTGACAGTAAATATATCTGTCCCTGCTGTTACGCACATTTTTGGAAATTATTTTCAAAACTGGATTGCAATACCTGCTGGGGCTCAGGATCTAACCTGCAGTTCTTTCAAATTCTATTCTAAGTTGTTGGCTTTTTTTTTTTTTTTTTTAATATCATGAGGTATAACTATTCACTAGTAAACAAAATAAAAAAAACAGAGAAAACATTTCAGAAAATTTCAAGAAATGCAGATATTGGTACATGAAGAGAGTGTTTATTTAATGCTATGAAAGAGAAATTTTCATAATGGCAAAAAAAAAAACAGGCAAAAAAGCATGGTAGTAAGTAAAGGCTAGAGTTTCTTAGAACAGTTCCAATATGATTTAAACAGTTAGGAAAGTTCATCTCTTCCCAGCTTCTAGATATTTCCTGTTAGACATACAATGAAACCGTTATTAAGGCTGTAAAAGCAAAAGATAGACTGAAAAGTTACCTTGCCAAATAGCAAAATTCACAGATTCAGCATGGCATGCAGAAATAGGCGGATGGTGACTGACCTAATAGCAAGACATGAAAGGAGGCGAAAAAAAGATAAACATTAAAACTTGAACAGTTTTTTTGTTTGTTTGTTTTCATTTTTCATATACGGCATTTACAATTTGAACAGTTAACTTTCCTTTTGCAGTTGTGTCCTGAAGGAGGAACCAGTAAGATTAATAAGGTATTGAGGACTAAGAAAGCCTTGAAAGAAATGGGAAGCACTTTTATTTTAAAAAGGCCTGTGGATTTTTGATCATCGCGTGAAAATTTAACTATATGTTTTGCACGTTGTCTCAAATGTGATAACTACATTTAGCCTTAGGGACCCATTCATATATTAATAGAAGTTGTACTTTACCCCCAGAGAAGTAAAGAAACAAAGGGCCAAGTTCTTCTGTACAATAAATATCAACAAATCCCTCTGACTACAAAGGGAGAGGGCAACACTCAGCATCTCTGAGGGCTATGAGTGGAGAAATAGGACTATGAAATTCCATCCAGAGTCAACTACTACTGTGATAGCAAACACCTGACATTTTTTCTAGTCTGAAACTAAGCATTTTGATGAGCTTTGGGTAATAGCACATATACGATTAAGGGCAACCACTAAAACAGCAAAGCAAGAACTGTAAACAAACAAACAAAAATACAATTGTTAAAAAAACAGTAAATGATAAAGTGACCGCATAAAGTAGAAGCGGCCACTCTTTCCTGACAGAACTCTTCTGGGTGAACGTGACTAAGAACTCACCTGGACCAGCTCTTTGATGTGTAATGCCTACTGTTCTCTCTACAAAGACAACTTAATTTTCAACTAGAGTTGCTATTTCCTACTCTGAATTTCATTCTTCAACCGCATACATGGCTCAAATGCGGCAGTGTCACTATCATCTTTGCTACTCATTTTGCAAATTTGTTATTGAGCATTTTTTTCCCCACAGGCATCCAGTTCTTAAAAACCTCTAGTTAATTAAAACAAAACAAACAAAAAAAAACACCACCAAAAAACCACAGAACTAATTACTCTCAGTTATGTCCTAATTTACCTGGGGCAACGCTGTGCATCTCATTTACTTCACCCAGATTAACCCTAGATGTCACTATAATTCACAGGTTAAACTTAGCTCTCACTTAAACTGTTTTAATTCCTGAATAAGCTCCTGGAGATAAAGTAGGGTTATTCTAAACTCACTGTATGGAGAGATGGGAATCCACACCATTTTATACATTTTGCATATTACATGGATTACATAGAGTATCCACACTATAGATTATCTACAGCAAGCATCAAAATGCTTTCCCAAACAAGTAACAAGCAACAGCTCCTGATGCAAAGAAAAAGATTTAACGCTTGCAAGCTGCATGAAACTTCTTTCCTCCTATACACACCTTTCTTATACTCCTCCATCCATATTAAATACACTAACTTTACAACTTTTTAAGTTAAATGTCATTTACTGCACATACTAGAACAAAAGTTAACAGTCCAAGCCCCTGATGTTTTAAAATTCCTCTTTAAAAAAAAAAAAAAAAAGAGGTCAGTCTTCATAACTGATTTATCCAGTATTCAAGAGAAAATCTTTTCCTTTCATTCAAATTATCAATAACTTCATTAACAAGCTTTATTTGTCATGTTGTCACTCTAATTTGTTGTTATGCTGCTAACTCCAGTGCTCTATACATCATCTTAGAATTAAATATAGAAAAGAATCAGACATGTTACCAGAACTCGAAAATTCACCACATGCCCTTCCTATTTTGCTTTTTTATTTTTAGACTAGGGAAATATCACATAGCACACAGGGTCATTTGTATAGTGTCTTGTACACCATGTTCTACCTTCAGAGTTTGTCAAAAAACTTAATTTCCTAATGGAAGCCTCTTATAAGGCTCTCTCATCAAATTTCAAGGTTATGCAATGCTGCCCACCTCACATTTTGTAGTTTTTTGTTTCTATGGAATAAGATAGCTTTTAATCATCCTTATTCTGACAGGCATCAGATTATTTAAAGTCTATTTCTTTTTAGCACATGTCTCAAGCTTAACTATTTTGGTAACTGGACTGGTTTAAATTTGGTATTTTTCACCGATAGTTCATAATTATTCTCCTTTTGGGGGACCAGTTAGAGCCACACTCAAATCTTGTTGTGCTGTATACATCCTTCAACTATTAATCTGTGGTACCAAATTTGAAAGGCATGGCCCACAAAGCATTTAGACAGGGAGGAGAAAGATTCAGGTTGCCACAGAAAATACTACTGGTCGTTTGACTCTTATTTCACTTTTATGTAAGAGGACATTGAACAGCAGAAGATAATGCAATGTTTTTCATGATCCTAAACATACAAAAAAACCATGACAAGAATATGAAAGCTACTTATAGTCCTGATCAGATTTCAGTGTGGGGAACCACACTCTGGTTAGCCAAGATATCCAGCTACTGGAGCAGACAGCCTTTGCTTCTCACTGTCAGCTATTAGTTGCCATGTTCCATCCCAGAGTGAGATGGAATTTCCTCCATGAATGAAGCAATTTCGTTCATTTACAGTTTTACAGCGTCCCTTCAGTTTTGCTGGGCCCAGGTTTTATAAATTAATTTTTTATTTTGCTATTAACTCCACAGGATTCCAGTCATGCATTCAGAATTAAGCAGTCTATCAAACAGTAAATTTAAGTGTTGCAGTATATAGTACCTGTTCAGCAAAAAATTGGAAACCCTTATCTTCACGAATACATTCATACGTTTCTCCAAGCACAGGATTAAACGGCTTACTTCCAGCTCGGTAGTAACTGGATGCATAGGCAGATGTTGCAAACGCAGCTATGTACACCTGGGAATAACATACACAGAATTTTGATTAATTAACCACAGCCACATACCATTTTTACTACACATTCTGATTTTACAGAGGGAGGAAAAAAGTCTCATCTTCACATCACATTCTACGTACTCGCAAATCATGGAAAAATAAACACGTATGCCTACTAAAAGTTAAGCAATAATTCAAATATTATAGAATTATTTATACTTCAGATAGCCCTTTCAAGGGCCCAATGACGAAGCTGTTAGGGTCAAACACTACAAAAATGTCATCAACTGAAAATGATATATCTGAAAACTGTTTGAAGCAACATAGCATCCTGAAGAACTGAAATATACACAGTAAGAAGCTGTAAGCTTAGAAATCACTAAGATTTTGTATTACAACTGGCTTTTGCAGTTATGGTCCCCAATTCTATGGATCTACCAGCTATCCTTTTCCTATGCAGGGCACAAGAAATACTGGATGAGTTTCACAGTTTGCTGTGGCTTATGTATTAGTTTGAACTGTCATTTGTCTATTGTATGCTGACTGTTACCTAATAATGAAACTTTTCTGTGCTGTGATTGAGACAAAGGTGTTCCTTCCAAGTTACTGCAGTGAGCTCAGCATAACTCCTAAACTTGAGGAATTAAACTTTGGGCTTGGTCAGCAGACCTTGATGGATGTCTCCTGTACCATTTTTCTTCCTTTCATTCCCTTCTCCTCACCTTGTGGAAGTGTAGACACTCTCCCTTTTGGTCTCAGGAACTCTATCCGTAAAAGAGTCATTCTGAAGTAAGCTATCACAAGCACTACGCAACAGCTAACTTTATCTTTGCCTTGGGAATTCTTCCATGGAGAAGAGCATTTCATCCTGAGTCTCAGCTTCCCAGGACTTGGGAGTAGGATAAAGTGAAAAGGCTTGTTTTCACTTCCATATAAAGAACTACTGCTCATTTCCTTTTTCTTTTAACATATGTTCTCAAGAAAGCAAAAAAAGCCATGCACCTAAAAATCCAATTAAGAGGCACACCCTCTGTCCTCTGAAGAGGACTTGTTTTTGCACACAATGAAAATAAAGATGCAATTTAATCTGACTGATACTGAATTATAATCCTTGCAGAGTGTCAGAAAGCAAGAAGAGTCTTTCCAAATGGGATTTATAGTACAATTATTTATACTCATTAATAGTCTCATTTTAACATAAGATATGTTGAGCTGAAAAGGCTCGATTCATTTTAAGGGACAATCAATAACCTTAAATTAAGAGAATTTAGAGAGCTTTCAATCCCTCATTTACAGGCTTATACATTGGAAGCAAAACACAGCTGAAATGCATTTTTCCCTTGTCCATTTGCCAAATTCTGAACTCAGCGTTCTTCATTGGCAGCAGATGACACCATTACTGTACTTGATATCTACAGGTATTGCTAAGTTTTGAAATGCTGAACATTTCATGGCAGTTAATAAATCCAAGGGAACTCATCTGGTTAATATAAAGAGATCATAGTAGTGTAGCGCTGGAAGATCCGGTGTTCTTTATGCACACATACACTGTAGTCTTCATATGCATGAGGGAAGTATATACTAGTTCAAATCCCCCTTTTTTTCTGTAAATTTTTAATCTTACAGAGAAAAACTTGGTAAACAGATCTACACTTCTCCTTTGTTTAACCCTGCAGGACAGCAAGGCATTTGAGGAGAGTTACTTCTTGTTAAAGCAACAGAAATTATGCAGAAGAATCAAAGACTGGGTGTGTAAGCATGCACAGACACATATGCTATATATCACAGTGTTCATTTTGGAGAGTCTGCCTCTCAGCTGAGAGAAAAAAAAAATGGAACAGAGTATCTTCACTTCTTTGGCAGATTGTTTGTACTCTGTTCTGATTATATTCAATGCTGCTAAATACTTGGAATAAAATATGTTTACCATCCTTTCAAATGGATCGGGTGTGTGTGCTGCTTTATCTAGCAGTTCACTGTATTCCAGTTCTTCGCAGAGACGCTGAAGGGTGTTAAGTGGCTCATTCAGTTCAACGGGCATGGCCACTTTGGAGAGATCCTTTCCTATGTTATTTCTCAGGATATTCCATAGGCTGATGTTACTAGTATTAGGACACGGAGCTGGCAAACATGTTCTCCGTTTAGAAATGCATCCATTTCCACTTTCAGAAATACAATCTGAAAGGAAGTGGCAAAACAAGTCAATCAATTCATTGTTTACTTATAGTGGATATTTTAACGCACATTCACAAAGGGGACAAAACAGTCTTTTTTTCCTGTCAAAACTTCCTTCCACCCCCACACTTCATTCAAATATGCCCCTTGTGGTTTGAAGGCACCCTGCTATAAAAAGGTAAAATTAAGAGCAAGATTTTAATTTCAATAAATTTTAACTGATATAAATTCCAAGTACAAATGAAACAGAAACGTTTAATAGAAAAATTGCCTTCCTTCTGTTAAAGGTTATAAGAAGAGCCTCAGGCTTTCAGTTGAATTTGAAAGAGTAAATATTGTAACTATCCTATTTGTAAAGGATATATATTCCTATACATTTAAGTGACATAAAAACCTCCTTCCTTGACAGAACTTCAATTAAACTGACACTTCTCAGAAGGCAAGGTGTAACTTCCAGATCCAAGTGTCAAAACACCTCCTAAGTATCTCTTACTATTTATCTGAATACTCCTACAAGGGAAATTTACTGTGCCACAGGTTTATATACAGGCTTTTCTACAATGGTCCTCATAGTATTATGCATTTTAAAAATTTTAGTGGTGTTAGCTTCTAAATACATCCATATATTGGTACAGAAGTGACTTGTTTTAAAGGCGGAAAAGCTGAAGCAACAGTAGAGCTATGGGCTTGCTGAAGATCCAGGAGAAGGACTCTCATAGCCACAAGAATATCTGAGCTCTCTGTTGGTATGTCAAAGCAATCTTGAATAGAGAACAGAAGCTAGAAGAACAGAATAGAGCCACAAGCCTCTGCAACAGGCATTGGCCTGAAAAGGCTGCTTAGCTGTACATAAATCTCATTTCAGAGAGGAATATGCTCCCCATTACATCATGTATTTTACCTTTACATGATTAGAAGCATCCAGAAAGCGCTTGCGTTAGAATCAGTTGCCATTTGGAGAACTTTGGGTATTGCCCCAGTCAGCCAATCTGTGCCCTCATATATACACAGAATCACATGCACGCACAGAATCACATACAGAATGGCTGAGGTTGGGAGGGACCTCTAGAGATCATCTAGTCCAACTCTCCTGTTCAAGCAGGGTCACCTAGACCACAGTGCCCAAGATTGTGTCCAGATGGCCTATGAGTATCTTCAGGGATGGAAACTCCACAATCTCTCCAGGCAACCTGTTCCGGTGCTTTGTCACCCTCACAGTAAAGAAGTTTTTCCTTATGCTCAGACAGAACTTCCTGAACATAAGGAAAAACTTTTTATGGCTTTCCCCAGACGGCTTTGTCTCAGAGGGATGGAAACAGTACAGGGCAGCACACCTCTCCTGCCCAAAGAAACGTGCCCAAAGAATCACTGCCCTTAAATGCACAATTTCAACCATTATTTCCTCTGTTGTTACACTGACACAAGCACGATACCAGCAGTGACAAAAAACAGATAACCACAAGGGCTTACTTCCGGATCACTGCCACGTATGCTAGCCAATAGCTCAGAGGGAGGTTTTCAAGTGTAATCAGCATTCTCAAAGCCTCGAGGAAAAACTTTCCATCTTTCCTGCCACTCACAAAACTAAAAGTCCTGCCACCTGCTGTTACTGAGTTACTGCAAATCTGTTTTTGTTACAAACTCTTCTGTTCTGCATAAAAAGGCCATAGGCATTATGAACCAGAAAACCTACCTGAAACAACTGCACTGTTAAGACTGTCTTTTCTAAGGGGCTGGCTTCTGTACTTCCGTGCTGGAAAACTTTATTTAATAATAGAAGAGGAAAAAATAAAATAAAAAAAGAATGCTTCCTTAAACACCTCAGGAGTAAGGGGATATCTGAAGAGAAAGGAGGTAAGCGCTAATAACCTGCTCTTGTTCAAAAGAGCTCTTTGAAATAGGATTAAATCACGTCCTTTGACAATTTCCAAATGAACACGTATCAACTTAACCAGGTATTCTGGATCAGCACGTTAAACGGCGTAAACTGGTGAGGCTCCATTCGCAGTCACAGAAAAGGGGTTCTACAAGACACAGCACAGAAATAACTGCAACAGAAGATATGACAAGCCTGGGGGTGGGAGGAAGAATAGTTCACACAATGCAGCAGGAGGTCTGAAACCTAACACTGTGTATTCATCTATGCACCTAAATGAAACGTTCCTGCCTGGGAGGCAGACCACACAGCTGTCATTAACCTCCTTTAAGGTTTCTGGGGCTTGCTCAGTGGTTAGGTTAATCTGAGAAGTTGTTTAGATGCCAAGTTTTCTACACAATAAATCTCCCCTTTCCCCTCCAACTCCCCAGAAAAAAAGACAGACCAGTTCTGGTTTGCAAGTGTTACGATAAATGGGCAGCAACACTGCCAACACCGAAGGACTTTTAAAGCCAGATGGGCCATTATGATCATCGGGTCCGATCTGCTCTATCACAGTGCCCAGAGGATTTAATCATAATCCCATAGCTTCCGGTTCAGCTAAAGCCCACGTAGGAAAAAGACACCAAGTTTGATTATTAATAGGAGTGGCAGGGTACCCAAAGCACAGAGGCAGCAGCTACCAGAAGCACGTGGAAGCGCTGCTGATACAGAAGAGTTTTGATGATAATCTGTTACAAGAAGTAGGAGCTGAGCAGCCACACTAATGCAACATTCTAAGGTCCAGATTACAAGCAAAGTTAATCTCGATTCTTTCCTATCTTTCAAAAAAATAAACAAACAAGAAACCTTAGTTTTTTTACACAGTTAGAAAATACAACAGATCTCCAGGCATTTCAAACCAGCCTGCGCTCATGGGGATCCATTGTTCCTTGAAAACGACCAGGAAAGAGCTGCTAGTAGGAAACCACTGTTCAGCATTATTGAAGATAAAATATACTGATAGAGTAGAGTCCACAGTAGAGTCCAGCAGAGTCTAGTTAGCAGAAATGCGAAGGCAGTACAACATAGCTAATTAGCATGTTCTGACCAATTCCTCACTCTCTTTTTTGATTCTGTCTCCAATTAGCAAGACTGTTAAATAAGTACTTTTTTTTTTTTTTTTTTTTTTTTTTTTTTTAAAAAAGAGCAGCATGATTACAAAATGCAAAGAAGTCACCTTACGGTCACACACCAGACCTGTTGATGTGTAATTATGCTCAGGTTCCTTTAAACATTAAAAATTGTGTTAAAAACAACAAAACTCTGAATGTGGTTGTTAAATGGTAGACTAAAAACACAGATTGACAAAAGAAAATTACTCTTTGAAAAATGGCAAGCACCTAGGGTTTGCTGCTTCAGAAAAAAATCTCACGGACATGAAAGAAATCGAGCAGTTCAGTAGCACAAGATAAGGCATGAAAATAGGTGCTTCTCCATTGATACAGAACCACCATCCTACTTTAACAGCGCCAGGGCACAGTTGTTTATCAGATTAGCCTAACTATGCTGTTCGAAAACAATTTGAGGCTGTAAAAGAACGAACACTGGCTGTTAAATCTCAAAACCTGTGATATCACATAACTTCTAGAAAGACAAGGGGGGGGGGGAAAAAAAGAAACAAACAAAACCATTTCAGAACACAATACTACAAAACACTGAACTTACCTAAAGTTTGCCTTTCATTCTCCATGTCATTGCTTAGGTTATCCTCTGAGACATTGTCACTGATATCACTCACATACGAATCATCATCTGATATCTGAGCATGGGGTGGGGAAAGAAAGCAAGATATGTCACTTGCTAAAAGTAATCCCATACACTCACTAGCATTGTTATTTCAGCTGCAATTATTAACAGATTTGAGTTGTTTCTACTGTGTTTCAGTATTGCTGAAAAGTACTAAGGAGATCTGAAAGGACAAAACTGAGTTTGGGAGAGATCACCATCATTGACTAATTCAACTACTCTTTCAGTGAAAAGATAGTTCATCTTCTTTGACCCCACAGCTAAGAAGCCTTTCTTCCTATCAACATCTCAGATTTTTATGTAGTCCTAGAGAGGTAACAAAACGGACTATTAAGTTTCAATATACATGGCCTCAGCCCCAAAGTAACCTGCAGCTACCACAAAGACAGGTATGAATATATATTTCTCTGATACAATTTCTTAAGTACCTGTATGATGAGTCAAGGCAGACAGTACAAGATACATGATATCTGCATACTATACCATTCACAAGCTACCTGTTTGACAAGCTACTAGTTTTACGTTTTCGTCAGTGGGCACCTAAGACTTCTCCGTAATACTTATTACGTTTTATTGTGAAGAGGAAGTGGCAACAAATAAATACACCTGGTGTAATAATTTTCAAAGCATTTCATTTTTTGACAGTCATCTGATTTGCAATTAGCACTTGGAAAGACCAAAAGTTCAATTAGTAGATAATGAACAACATCAGAATGATGTCTAATCTTAGTGCTCACACCTCATTTTCTGAAGAGCTAGCAGACAGCAGGACCTCCTGTGCATCGAAAAACTCTGTGAGGGAGTCAGCAATAGACAGTCTGCTTTCATTGGAGATCTGGTGAACCAGACCTCTGCTTTCTTCTCTTGAATTTTCCTGCATAAAAGAAGCAAAGTTTTGAGAGGAAGAGTACCACAAATAGCATTCATAAATGCAAACCTACAGCCATATAACTTAAAGGGCTGTAAAATACTATGAGAAGACTGCATATGCTCCTCTAATTTATTGAGAGGCAGCATGCGCTTCAAAGATGGAACTAAAAACAAAGAAAAATGGACCAAAAAGAAGAAAAACGAAAGAAGAAAGCAATGCACATTCGGTAAATCAGTTATAGCACTGCACATATATTTTCCTCCTATAAGCAGATGTAAAAACACAGTGCTATTTGAGTGACTTATTCAGTCAGATATATGCAAGCATATCACCAGAAATCCCCCAAACGAGCAAAATCCCTGCCTCTTTATATTACATAGTAGATTTAGATTCTCTTCTGATCTCAGCAAATGAATTATTCTTCTCCTCCCTTAATGTAAAGTTTGCAGTACAGGAGCATGCAAAATTTAGAGGAGCAAAGAAGCCTTCTATATAAGAGCAATGCTCTCTTTCTCCACTAGACTACTTTCCATGCTGCGTTACTAGATCAAATCTACACCTGAAGCAACTCCCTGTTAACTAAAACCAGCATATTACCAAAGCCAGAGAAATGAAACTACTTTTATCGCTGCAGTCATATTCAACTGCCATGGACATCTCAGTAACTTTTGCCATGCAAGTCCTAAGTGCTCTACAGATGGTTGGCATTAGCAGAGTTCCAAAAGGCTGTCTACTAAAGGTGGGATGAGCATCAAGGCTTGTTGTTTCACCCTGTGAATGCAGTAAAACATCCGGGGAGGACTGTACATTACTGTTTTTCCTGATAACTCCATCACTACTAAAGAAAAAGGCCAACGGCCCAAAGGAGTGTATCAACTACTCTCAAGTTTCATTCTGCATGAGATGATTTGTAACTAGCCATCATGACTGCCCTCACTATCATAATTTTACAGGGATATATTTCAAATGGATGAGAGCTGGTTGTAGGACACCACAAAAGACATCATCTGCTTAACTGGTAATAACATATCATAATTCACTCATGTCCTTGCAGCAGTTTTCAGGCATCTAACTTCGCCATTCCCACTCTTGGTACATTCTCTCCTCCTTATCAGTCAGTCCCAGGTTGCCTATAATTAGTAGAGCCTTGTAGTTTTACGTTTACAACAACATATACAGTGAGCAAATTGCACTTATTCTGATCAGTCTATAATCAAACATGATGAATCTTCATTTGAGGCATTTCCACTGAAAGATTTTACTATAGAATGGAACGCTATTTAGTGTGTGCTGCTAATGGTGAAATGGTAGCAAACCAAAATGTTAGCACACAAAAGCTCTTTTTCTTATACGCTCTTGATAAAGCATCAAGAAAACAGGCAACCTCAACCTCTTCTGTGGGAAGGCAAAGACACTGGCCTATAAGTCAAAAAAAAATTTTACACACGTCTGTTGTTACCGGGATTGCTTTCCTAATACTACTTCTAATCTGAGAGGCAAAGTCAGCAAAAAAGGGTTCATGAAAGAACACAAAATTTTTCTATTTATCACATGGAAGTTTCATTTCTCCTTCCTTCCTACTCCAGCTCTGGCATGATAAACCACACCATAAGCTGCCCGATAGATAAACTAAACGTTTATCTAATGCAAGGCTTGAAAAGCTCATTTATACTGCTTCAATTTTTTTGAGGTCTGTCATACTATTTGATGGATCAGTTAGAGTCAAGTTTTTGTGCAGTGACCCTGTATTCCTCACAACAGCACTACTATATCTTCAGCCAATCTTACTAAGATGAAACTTGTCCAGTGTAAGCTATTTTACCCTTCAGGTACATCCCAAACTATGTCACAGGGAATTTGTGAATGAAACCCTTAAGGGACCTTTTGAAAGGTATTTTTAGCATGTCTGCAGGTATTGTATAGAATGTGTTTCAGAAATAACCTACTGTCATTTCAAGGACTTCTACTAAGTAAGAAAATAAGGAACGGCTGAGAGTAAAAAGACTGCATTAATGCTTCCCTGGATACCAGCCTAAGTACTGTTCAAATTCTCACAGGGTTAGAAGAACAAGCCATTTGAATGATTATCTAGCCCCCTCCCCCCCTAAAAAAAGTATATGAACAAAATCCAGCTCTACCAAAAACATTATACCAGAATAAGTGGAAGAAGTGAACAGACTGAATGACTAAGTCCTCTTTAAAAGTGAAAGAAAATAAATTTAATTCAAAACAAAAAACAAAAATGACACACATTTAACTTCTAATAATAGATTTATAATACAAGCAAAACAAATTTTTGTGTAAGTTAACATTTGGGAAAAACCATCAGAAATAAAGTTCTTGCTTCCCTCATTAGCACTATTAAGATCTAGATGCCATGAATATAAACACATCATATTCATTCTGTCACAATGGGAAAAAAAGTGTGTCTAGACATCAGCATATCTCAAAACGGTTCACTGGATACGCTGATGACATCCTGCTTTCAAACACAGAGAACTAAGTGGCTGAAAGAGCTCTTACCCCTACATCACACTTCTTTGTTCCTTTTATAAAAGAGTGTCCAGTAATGCTTCTAAACCTTAACCGAGACACACTGTTAGCCAGTCTTCTAGGCTAACAGTATTACGACTGGCAACAGAAAGAACTACAAAACTTGAGAGCTAACATAGGAAAAAGGTGGAGAAAAAAAGCTAGCATTAAGGAAAGGCTGGGGCAGCTTTGTTCATGCTAAACGGGAAGCAGGCAGGAGCTGAGGGAGAAAACTGGAGCTAGTAGCAAAAAGCAATGGAAGTGTGCTCAGGAAAACTGCTCACAAGAAGTCTTTAAAATTAAAAATTACATAATACATCATCAGAAATGATTTGTAACTATGAAAGCAGGCTCTTTTTGCTAATACAATACACTGCAGGGAAGACATGAAGATCAAGGCAAGATGCAGCTGTGCAACACTGTCTAGATGTAGCGGCTTGAGATAACAGACATCACAGAGAGGAAAACCATACCCACCTTCACCAAATCTGGACTTGATTTTGCATTAGATGCTGAATCAAGGATCATAGATTCGGCATGTATTCTGCGTAACCGGTCTTTAAGATCTGTGTTTTGTGCTATTGCCTGGAACATTTAACAAAAATATCGGGACTATAAAGTTCTCTCAGCTAATTTGAACAGTGGCTTTATTGTGCAAAAAGGGGAGAATAGTATTTAAAGTACAGTATAAAACACCTACATCATCACACAGGCTTTTACTGGTTCAACAAATCATTTATTATAAATGCTTCAAATCATGTTCCTTACTTCTCAAATTAAAACTATTTTTGTTCAGTGTGAGAGAAAAGACAAGAGTGGAGAACAAATGCTAAAGAGAGCTTGGACATTTCAGGTTAAGAGACTGGGAATACGGGACTGTTACAGGTCACCAGGTTCTGCAAGCTGATTTATTAAGTTATAAATATGTTTTATGCATCGTGGTCTGTTTCCAGCTCTGTTCCTCTACCCCCATTTCCAGCCTAGCCTTTCTCACCATTAATTTATACTCTTGTTACCAGCCAAAGATATGTTTCATTTTCCCATTGACCTGACGCATTGACAGTTTCCTCAGCCTTCTCCTGACACAAAAATAAGGTTCAACTTTCTCTTACAAATCAGTCCCAAATTATCTTCTCCTTTTGCTGCTGCACTGCAACCACAACCATAACACTGGACTGGGCAAGGATGGAGAAAGGAGTTTGAAAGAGTGAAAGATAACTCTTCCACAAGACAAACTGTTTTCCCCCCCAAAATTTCAGCAATGGCAGAAGGCCAGTTTCACTGAACATGGTGATTAGGGCTCTGAGGGATCCAACTGACAACAAGGAAAGTCACGTAGCTTTTCTCTGTATAGTATGGAGAGGGCTAAGATCAATAAAAGTAGCTTTTCCCCCCCTCACACTAAGAAAGGTACAATTTATTAAATGCAAATACACGATTTTAAATATTAGTATTACATCTGTACACTATTTATATATTAACATTGTATAGCAATAGTATTTTATGTTTTACTGCTTTGCAATTATTTGCAAGTATTCCTTTAAATCAGTTCTGTTATAATACAAATCTTTACAGATAAAGGTGAAACAAGCCATTCTTTATTCCATTTCAAAAACTGAGATACTCCTATGAACAAAAAGAACTTATCATTCACACTATTACAAGTATATATAATATCATAAAACTGTATACCAAATGAGTTTCTCCTGTTCTCTTAAAAACATGACTACATACAGGTTTCATGCTGAAGTAAAACAGAGGAGGCAAGATTACCTGCTCTATTTAGCATCACCTAAAGCACATTTAAGAAGACTTTGAGTCTTTGTGCTCAAGACTCATGAACGCTTTCTCAGTCTCATAAATGAGATGGATTAGGAAACCTTAAGCATTGGAAAGTCTGCAGAGACTTCTTATCTGAAACAATTCCTCCTGAGAGAGGGATTTCCTCTAAGTTTGACTTCTAAGTTGTTCCTCTTAACAGTATCTCACTGCAGCTGAAACTGGTTGTGTAGCAAACATACCTTTTTTTGGCCAGGATCATTTTATTTTGCTCATAAGTGAGTTCCACCTCACATATTAGAAGTTGTTTTAACTCTTCCCCTCCCCTCCTATTAACATACTCAAAAAAAAAAAAAAAGAAAAAAAGAAAAAAAACAGACACCACATAGAACATCAACAGATGCTCATTTATGGTAACACCTTTTCCTTGTCTTCCAACACTTTCTATAGCTTGTGGATGTACCCAGGTCTAACATCCTATCCAGGAAGAGGTACAATTTGCGTCCTGACAGCCTTAACAGAAATGATCAGAAGAAAAAATAATTTCTACTGCAAACTCTGGTATTCGCTACTTATGTTGGGTGCATCTGAAGGCCGGATGTCATTTAGAGTAGACTTATAGGAAGAGAACACAGGCCTGCCCACAATACAAGCATCTATTAAAAAAGAGTTATTAATTTTAAACATAAAAGGACAAAACCCCCACCCTCCTAAATAATAATCCCGGTACTGCAAGACAATTTTAGCCAAGCTTGTGATTTTAAGTATTTCCAGTATAGAAGTGAAGGTGCTGCCACAGCCCTTACACATTTTCCCCGTTTACAACTATTAAATTAACAATAAAATAAACAAACAAAAAACACAACGTACATACCTCTTGACAACTGGAACAATACTGAAGACTTATCTACTGCCTACTTTTGTCATCTGAATTAATGCCAGGATGTAGAGAACCCTTCTGTGTACACCTCCACTTTCTCCCAAAATATTCTGATTTCAGGAGCATTTTTTGTGGAGGTAGTCTTGGGGACAGGAAAGACAGTAGGCTCCAACTAACAGTGGTGGGGAGAGGGATTATTTTCTGGCTCTACCTATGTATGGTCTGAATACAGAATACAGACATTTACCATCCCCTTTGACAAGCAGTCAAATGTAGAACATTATGTATTATATGACATTATTTATATATCTATATAGCGATATAGATATCTATTAAATTTACATAGCTTTCCTATATAGCATTTTGCAATTTTCCTCGTCTGCTACAAAGTGTTTTCTTCCTTCTACTGTAGCTCAATAAGAAAGAGTATGCTTTTCCCCACTGCCTATTGGCTTTTCTTGGACTGTGTGTAGGTCAAGGATATTATCTTAATGAAGAAGAGGCAGAGGAACAGCTGCTAATTTTGTGAGTGGAAAGTGCTTCATTCAATTCAAATCTGTTCATTTTTCTTCCCCTGCCAGGCTGAAGAGAGCAAAACAGACGTCATGTTTGATTACTCTCAACCTGTGAGTCTAAATTTTTTTTTTTTTGTTCCTCTTGCACAGCAAAACTGAAATTAGCAACAAAAACTACGTCAAAGTCATCAATGAAGGGCTCTCTTCCAAGGAACAGTCTCAGAAATACGTCAAGTTTATCATATTTGTGTTTCCAGAGGTCTTCAAAGGAAATTAATTCCTTTCTCCTATAGTTTCTCTGCTGTACAGGGGGACAAAATTTCTGCTGGTACCATGGCTTTACAAAGATCCGCAGGTTAATAGCTCTTACATAGGTGTTAATCTCTGCTAAAAGCAACTGCCAGTGTTCACAGATGATTTCTGGATAGCCTACAGAAGGTTTGTTCAGTATCAGATGGTAAGACCTAAGAGCGTGACTCTAAAAGACATTTAGAGGATGAAGATGGACAATAGCATTTTACTGCTCAGGAAAAAAAAATCATGCTCAACTGAGCGTTCAGAAACACTCTGTTCAGAAACCTTAACAATTGTTTTTGACATAAAAACAATAGGCAATTAACACTGGAAAAACTGAAAGCCATCTATCCAGATGTCAGAAGCAGAACACCTGAAAGCCAAAAGCAAAGAAGCGCAAGCGAGTGAATATAGTTACTGTGTACCAGGTTTCAGCTCTCTCTGAATTCTGCGAGGACATCATGACCTCTAAAGGTCCAGATAAACAGGTATGCTATAAGCTAAAATCTCTAATCACATACAGCTTTTGTACAGCAAACAGTAGTTTTCATATCAATAAAACTATAATTTTATCTATGTCACATTTATCAGTGGTAGAGAGTCACCACTGCCTCCGATCAGGAATTTGCAACATACACACTGAAATTTAAAGAGCAGGCTAATGATGGCCTTCATTGCACTGAAATCAGACCACTGTCTGGCTGATGCATTCAATTTCGACCAACCTGGAAGTCCTGGTTTCAAGCAACTAAAAAAAACATACCTATCAAGAAAAACACCTTTTTACAGAACATAATCTCTTGTCATTAGAGCCAAGAGCTCCTTTGCTGCTTTTAGACAACTAATAGATAATTAAGATTGCAAGTCAATGTAGACAAATTGTACTTGTATTTGCTTTGCAGGATCTCAGTGCAGCACAGTGAAGCTCAGATGAGTTAGAAGGGACAGACGAGCGCTCTTCAGCCTTGATTTTATGCCAAATCACATTATGACTACCTGAGTGCTGTTCAGGAAAAGGTGGGGGGAGGGGGAACCCCAAACCACGAAACATCAAAACCTACCAGACTTGAGTGATAAAAACAGAATGCATGTTTCAGAGAAAAAGTAGACTCATCATTACAGAGCAGCTCTCTGATACTTAACATCAAAACATACAGATTATACTACACACAATAGATCAATCTGTCCAATTTTAGTGATTTCACAATTCCTTTATAACTTAGGAAAAAGTGTCTGAAAAGTACTGCATATAATAATGTACTACATTTCAATACCGAAAATTCTAGCTCATAAGAGACACTAAAAAAACCAGGTATTAACCTGTATAAAATTTAAGAGTGGAAACGGATGACAATGAAGCTTGCTGAGCTTCAGCATGTCACTTACGGATGCTAATGCATTCTTCAAGCCAACTATTTGTGCAGATGGAGACAAGGATGCATCATGTTCCAGCATCTGCTTCAGCTTCTCTCTTTCTGTAGATATGGTACTGAAAGCTGACTTCAAGGTGAAGTACACTAGAACCATTTTGTGAAAAGTGACAGTTAAAAAACAACTACCAACTGTATACACAAAAGTCACATAAAACTTCAATGATACATCATTTATGGTGACAGAAACCAGAATCTAGGTTGAAAGATCCAGGGTGGGTTAAAAACAAGTGATATTAAGCAAGGTTACAGGGTAGATATTTTAGTAGTGAAAATGTTTATGGTGAATACTACAGTGTTGACTATAGTAGTCGCATTCCAAATTACTCTGATTATTTGTGACAGATGGCAGCAAAGCTAACCAACCGCATCTGCTCTTCACTTGCTTTTGTTCCCCAATTAGCTTGAATCTTCAGACAGTCACGATTATTCCGCATTCCTTTAAGAATTTCAGTGGAGGAGAAGAGAGGGAAGGAGGAGAGAAAAGCAAAAGCAAAAAAAAAAAAAAAAAAAAAAATCAAGGAACCAGCTATGACACAAACTGTACCATAGCTATGACGGGCTAATAGTTTGCTCCCAAGTAAACTGTGATGTTGAGTTTGGTTATCTTTTTGGAATAAGGAAATTCAGGCTTGTCAGATGATTTCATGACTCAAAAGGTAAGATCCTAATGTTTGGTGTGCATGCTACACTGCTACTTCCACTCTTTTCTGAATTAGTATTGCTAACCTGAAACATTCAATTCGAACAGATCATGCAAGCTGAAAATCACTAGATTTTTAAAGTGGAATATGCCTTTCTTATTTTGTGACTTTTGAAACACCCACCCCTCCTTTTTTTTTTTTTTTTTAAATAACCACAGGGAATAAAAACTTGAAGTAATGTTTATGTAGGACTTCAACATGCATTTAACTGGAGAATTAGAGAATTTGCAAGAGCCTAATCATAAATCTTGTAATAAAGTCATGAGAACTGGCAATGCAAAAATTCTTTAGGTTACAGGGAAGTGGAGGTATAAAATTTGTATGTGTGTCTATACCCATGATAAATGAAAACGATAAAGAAGAAACTTTAATACCTCTCTCTCCTAATCACCTACACACCAGAGTTACCTGAATAATCATAAACCCCCCTGAGCATCGGAGGTAACCTAATTTACTGTTTTTTACAAAAAAAAAAAAAAAATACTCCTAAGGTGCATGAGCACTGCAAACCATTGCCAGAGTTAATTCTCATACTTTAAATTATTTCAAGAAATCTTTAACAACATGACAAGGGAGAGAGGAGGATGTATCCATTATGATGCACTTTACATTAGCCTTACAAATGTAGATGACATGACCAGAATCCTCAGTGACCTGATATCTCATTTAAAACTCTATACTTACGTAAATTTGCAAGAATCATTACAGAATAGTAAGTGCCAATATTACATTTTATTTAATTTATATCAAAAGATAAAGCAATGTTTTTCTTCCAAACATTATTTTTTCAGAGTAGCAATAACATGAAGCAACTTTGGGAAAAATTCAATGCAACCTTTATAAAATGCTATAGGTAATTAGCATTTATTAGGTATAAAATGCTTTAGGTATATTAAATAGCACCTAGTTACCTGCCTCCACTGACTAAAACTAGTAAAACTAAAATAAGATGATATCGAGTAGGAGATTTCTTCAGCACCTTTAGACAGTGACTTTTGCAACAGTTCCCCACCCCCACATACTTTTTTTTTAAAAAAAAAAAAAAAAGCATACACCAGTTTTGACTACACTTGACTTTACAAAGCTTACTACTGAGACAGATAGTCCTTACATAATGGAATCAAGACATCTCTTCACCAGAGGGAGGAATAAATAAAGAAAGAAATAATCAAGCAAAGAATGCTTAATGATAACATCAGTCATCATCTTCAACAAAAGGGGGTAAAGTCAATACTCCCAAAAGCCTTTCAGATACAAATGCACAAATGCTTTCCTTACCAAGATCACTTAAATAATGAAAACCTTTCTGGTGCAAGGGTGACAGAGCAAAGCATTGCTAATGAAAAACGATTTTGCAGAGAATAAACATTTCTAGTTAAGCTGCCCCTCTGGCTGCCTTGCATGATTTTACTCTTTGGTATTCACTAAAAATAGGTTACTACCATAGCAACCCTTGCATCAGCAACAAACGTTGACTGAAATATAGTGAAGCACCCCAAATATACAAACACATGCATGCTCATACACACACATGCGCACGCAAACACAGAACACAATCTGCTGTTGCTTTTATAGCAACTGATTTTAGGACTTTTACTTTCTGGCAACAAATGTAATCTAGGTTTCTAGGGCATAAAACAAAGGGGAAAAGGTCCTAAAAAGCCACTTGATGGTTAAGCCATTTTTTTCCCCTGAACAACTCAAGACCTCAACATTTACAATTCCTCAAGGGAATTACAGAAAGGGAAGAAATTTCAGGCTTTATTTATTTATTTTTATTAAGATTAAACAGGAAGCAATCTCAGAAGTCACATCATTATTAAGTTGTGATGATGTAAAACCACATATAGAAGAATTTCATTTACCTTTATGTGCAACGTGAAATAAGTCTTCTTGCATTTTAGTAAATTCTGACGATGTTTCAGAGCCATCAGAGTAATTTTTCTCCTCTACAAAATCTATAGCAGATAAGTTAGGATTGGAAGCATGCAGTCTCATCGGGGCAGAAAATACTGAAGGCACCTATAATGAGAATAGCCATTTGTGATGCTTTCTGCTTTTTTAAACAAACTGTAAAGAAAACTTTTGTTATTGTCCCTACCTGGGTTAGGTATTGGAGGCACTAGAAATAGAAGGACTGTCAGTTAGCAATAGCTTTGGAATGGGTGACACCTGGCAAATGAAATCACAGGTGCAACTTTGCACAAGATGTTGTAATCGGAGACTTGGCAAAGCTCCAAAGAAACAAGCCCACAGAGAGCTGTAGCATATGCTTTACTATTCCCCCCCCGACACACACACTTACAAATATCTAATGACATGGTCTCTAGAAGCAAATATATTCATAACTGTCTGCAACATTTGCAGAGATTTGTACTGCTGAAAAGCAAACAAGAACAAATGGAGGCAGATTGAAAACATGTAAAAATGACAGCCAGTCTCCTGAACCAACTGGCAGAGGTCCTGATGCAGATTTCAAAGATGATGTATTTGCATTTTGTCTAATGCATTACTGTTTAAGATGAGCTACTACAGGAGACTACTTAAAAAGGATTCAGATTTCCTAAAGTGGATAGGCTAAAAACTAATCAACAATAGTATCTGGAGAAAGAAGAGCTATGGAAAGGACTGAAGTTACCTGTAACATTCCTTTAGTCTCTTTCCCAACAACTCTGGATCGCCACCTCCTGTGGGTTCTTTTTTCCTTTTTTGGACTTTCGAAAGGTCCAACCTTTTAACAACACACAGGACAAAAGTAATATGGATTGCCATAGAACTAGAAAACCTAAGAAGAAACACCTTTATCCTGTGCTTTTTTTTCCCCCCCTCCTCCCTCGGAATGACAACGGAGAAGTTCTCTTTATTTTTTTTAAATAACAAACCTGTATAGCATTTATAGCAGGTGCTGAATATGTCCTGTGAAGAACATCCATGCTCTGTAACAGCTGGTTCATTTCCAATAAATAGGTGTGACAGTGGGAGAGGTCTGTTTTGAACAAGAAAATATTTTCAGTTGTCCTGAAGTAACAGACGCACTGAAAGCTTTTGTCTGTTTAATCACGGGTTAGTCTAATTTTGATTTTCATCTGCAGCTAGTTTAAGTTACTCTTGGACTAAAAGCAGACTACTAGATGACTGGATATAACAGCCTGTATTCTTTTATCTTCAAGTTTACATTCAAAGTATTGGAATGCACCGCCATAGACTGTGGACTAATGATCATGGTATTTTATCCTAGCTGGTAGTGGAAAAGTCAGAGTAATGTGGTAACTACTGCAGCTTGGGACTAGTCAGACCTCTTCACAGAGGGGGCAACAATGCCACAGACTAAGACTAAGTTTTTCATTCAGTGCTAGAGGTGAGGCTCCTCTTTATTAGAATTGAAGCTCACCAGTGGGCAGAACTTTACTGAGTATGTACCACACAGACGCTACCAACGTGACAAAGACCTTCATGCTGTTAAGAAAGCAAATACAGAAGATGACTTGGAAGCACATAAAGATCCAATGTTTTTTAAATAACTGGATTTTGGACATTCTCCCTTTTCTTAAGCTGGATATTCAAAAAAAAAAAGTTCAAGTCTTACTACTAAAGGTTACTTTTATATACAAAGAAAATGTACTGAAATATTCAGGTTTCTTTAAGAGGTCCCCAAATCTGATGTAGCCACATCCAAAATTACTAACCCTTTCAGAAACAAGTGACTAGCCAGTTAAGAAACAGCCATCCCTTTCCTCCTCTAATTTTAGAGGAAACTAACTGTAATGACTACTTATGCTGCGCTACTGTCATTATTAGGAACAAACAGGGGAAACACTAGGGTATTTTCAACTTTCTTCCAATATTCCAATGCTACCTCTTGAGCATTTTTCCATATCTTCAGAACACTGTAGCCAAGATGGAATCCGAGACTCATTACTTGAATAGGAAAATGACAGGCTACCTCCAGCCGACAATGAATTCTGTTTGGTCAAGCTGCTTGCCTGTTCCAAAGGAGAACAAATGAATTTTTAACATACAATATTTTATTGTTGCAAGTACATGTTTTGACAGCCCACAGCTGAGGTCCATGATCATTGACAAGGACTGAATACATTAACAACATCGGAAAACAGAAAGTGTAAGAACTACATTAGGTGTACAAATCATTGAGTACAATGCAGGGATATCATATTGTACTAAGAAAGCTGACTACCAGCAGCAGAAAAACAGATACTAAAGGAAGCACAAAATTTGCTGAAAATTAGATTTTGAGGGATGGCAAAGGTCTGCATCAGTTAAGTCAATTTGACACAATTACAGTACTGGACCTGGCACTGGACCAAGGAAGGACATTCTGTTCCTTCTCTGCCCTCCCCAAAGAAGCCCCAGAAGATGACTTTAATATAACATACACCTTTCTGTTGGAAATATTCTTTCAGTGAAGAAAGCAAGATGTTTTCTGAACACTAGATGTTTTCTGAAATTTTACTCAAGGTGATGTGCCTTTAACCAGGATTTTGCTTGATAGTCCTTAATACATATGAGAGCATACATCTCGTCAGGGTGAAAAACAGCATTTTGCAACCTCCCAGTAGCAAATTATAAACTGTTATCTCGTCTTTAGCAGTGTTCGCTATCAGATGCTTCAGAGGATATTGGAAAGTGCCCACAAGAGCTAATTAAGCAGCACAACTAAGTAGTTTCCAATGAGGGGAAAAAAAATTCTACACAACACTTATCAGTTGATAGTGACTTATAACGCTGTTGTCTTCTCTAGCATAATGAGAACTACTAGTCATCCAGACGCCTAATTATTTTTTAGACTTTATGAAACCTTTTGTGTTCAGTAACGTCTATGTCAGGAAGCTGTACAAGGTAATTACATATTTTGTCCGTACCTTATTTAAAATCAGTTTTAAACATGTCATTTCATTTGAAGTGCCATTACATGACACCTTTACTCTAGGGTTTTGAGAAAAGCCGACTACGTTACTTGGCTCCTCTCTAAAGCATATGCTTTACATACTTCGTTATCTCTTGGCTCAACTTGGATCAAAATCGGAGATAGTACTAGTTTTAAATCTATTCTTAGGAAGTTTCCTTTATATCTCAGTTACTGTTGCAGTTGTCTTAGTTAGCCTTTTAAAACTTACAATATACGATCCATCTTGAGCTGTAGGGTAAAATAAATTGCACTGTCCAGGCGACTTCATTCAGTATTATAATCCCAATTTATATAGTCAGTACCAAATAGTAGTAAGCATCAATAAGCACACTTATTTTCATATTAATCTATGTAGTTTAGCTATTTCATTACTATATAAAGGGAACTGTGTACTATATAAAGGGAACTGTGTGAGCTTTAGTCATCTGTATATACATAGTCATCTATACTACAATAGTAATCTATACACAAATAATAATCCCAGCACCTTTCAAAACATAAGTAAATGAAATTTATATAAGTATTGTGAGCAAATCCCACGTTGTCTCTTCAAAAACCTACTGCATATAATCAAAATTTTTGTCGGAACTCATACACATGGGGGCATGAGCAGGAAGGAAGAAGGAAAAAGACATTCCCAAGGAACAGGGAATGGGTTGAGTTTGTATTGCTCCACTTAGCATACTTTTGTTTTAGGTCAGTATGGCCAAGATTAAGAATACAAGTATTCTATGTAAACATATATGGACACACACACCCTCCCCACCCCAGACATGAAAACTGACTAGGTGTTTCTAAAACGCAAAGATTGCTTGATTTTTTTTTTTTTATTTTTTCAAAATAACCTAGTTACTGGACTGGTATCAACTAGCATTAACCTAGGGTTGGTGTAAATTGACAAACCTCCATTAACTTCAGCAAAGCGAAGGTGATTAACTGTAACTTAAGAACTATCCCTTTCTATTTTTCACATGAAAACAAATAGGGCTTCTTTGCAGTGCAAATCTGGATTAATATACTAAAAGTGAATTAAAGGCTTTTATGCCAAAGAAGAAATGGTTACTTTACTCGACAATAAGCACAGATTTTAGATATGTTGCTCACATGGACTTTATTTGGAGAGCACAGGCATACTGACACCACGGGGTTTGCTACGATCTGCTTTTGCCCTCAGTATTCTTCCTCTGCAACCTAGCCATCTTGTGGGAGAAAAGGACAAAGCTGTCCCAGGAGGTTTTTCCAGTTCCTTGCAGATGCAGTATAAGAGCAGCAGGCTGTTAGAACAGCAGAGGTGCCACAGGCAGCAGCTCTTTGCAGAAGAGCGCGTTCCCACAGGGTGAGTTACTGTTCGTTCAGCTGCCAGCTCACACAGATGTCCTCCCTGCCAGCTGCTAGCAAAAAGCTGTCCAGCCACGTGCTTGTGTCTGGGAAAGCTCTTCCTCAGTTACAAGATAGTCCTTCCAAGGTGACAAAACCCTTCCAGTGGTCCTGCAGACATACACTAAGCCCCATGGAGCCAACCAACAGTCTTTAGAAATAAGGATATTGTTCAAATCAACAGAGCCATCCAAGAACCAAACAATAAATTCTAATGCAATACAGATTTAGTTTTCTTTAGCTAATAATATTATTTTGAAGTTGGAGACAAACACTTAAGCAAGAGAGATGCTGGCTGATCTCTGGTAATCTCTTAGGAAAAAAAGGAGACATGCAAGCACTCTAAAGTCCTTTCCTTATAGTTTTGTCACTGTCAATATTAGGGCATGTAGTATGAAGCTCAGTGTTTCCTAAGGCAAAAAGGAGACCTGGGAGAAAGAGTAATGGGTCAGTTTACTTAGCAAGTCCTAAACGGTCCCCTAAAACTCTGTAAAGGGAGAAACCTCAGCAAAGGCCTAAAACCCTTTTAAGCAAAAGCGTTACGCTGTTTCCACAAGTAAGCGTCGATAAACATGTTGCTGATAGCTCAGAAGAAATCCCATCAACCCAAGGAGGTGACAGTAGGAAGAACATTCCTGAGCTGTAGGTGTGGTGTGAAATAAGCCTGCTCAAAACACACACCAACATAGCTAAGGGAATGAAAACCTTAGGTAGGCAATGAATAAAGCACTTACTGCTACATCAGCCAGCCAGTGTGCAAACCGTTGTGGGTATGGAGATTGTGTCCAGGTGAAAGTAGCAGTCACGGCTTTTAGCCAAAAAGGAGCACACAGCTGACTGGACTCACCCAGTCCACATATCCACCCACAGCACAATCCTCGCCCTTGCCTGAACAATGCTTCTACCTCACTTAAAATATAAATGGTAGTCAAGATAATGGCTCTAGAATAATCCTGACATACTCCTCAGCTAAGTACAGTCAGATGTATTATCGTGAACAGTGAGAAGTCTTACTAGCTAGACAGTAAATGGAAAAAAAGCTGAAGAAGAAAACTCTAGCTGGATATTCTGCATCCCATACATACTGGTGTGCATTCACCAGCACACATTAGACAATTATGTTTTATAATGTTATCTTATTGTTTTAATGAAGTAAATTACATTTTCATGATGACTTTTAAAACTGGATGTTAAGTTAGAGTCCTCAATTTTTAGCAGCATCACACACAAAACTACCTGGGAGTGAATTTATAAATAACACCATTTTGCTCTTGACATTTTAGATCATAACTTAATGAAAGTTTGCAGCTGGGTTTATGTTCTTTACTTAATAAACATCAGTCAGGATAATTTAACCCCTGATGAAAGCTCACTATCTGTAAGTCATAACCATTACCTTTCTACTTGGAGCAGAATCACACATGCCAGCAACAGAGTCCACAGTAGAAGACACAGGGAAGAAAAGATTACTGACATCATGGGGAAACATGGAGATTTCGTTCTGACGATACATTCTGTGATGACGAAGTTTTGCTACCCACTCATCAAACAATTCCTGAGATTTCACCTACATAAAATTTCAAGTTTTAGAATATTTACATTCAAAACTGTTAACAAAAAACCTCCTAATGTATTTTCTGCCTATTAGGCAGCTGGCCTGGTCTACTTTTATTGGCAAGACATCAGTTAAATTTTTCTAATAACGTCCCTACTAAACAGCATTCCGTATTAACTTGAATGCAACAGAAAACCAGTCATAGGATAAATTCAAGCGAGAGAAACTTCAATTACCATAGTTATGACTTTAATGCAGAACATAGTACTTAGCAACTTCTAGAACAGAATAAATGATATAACAAAAATATTTATCATTTCGTAGTTGCCATTTTTTAAATAAAAATTAGCAAAGTTTAACCAAGCATTAATAGAATTTTGATTTTGGTGAGGAAATCACCAAATCATCAATCACTAATCAATCCAATTTTATAACACAAGGAAGGATAGATGAATCTACATATGTAACTGTGCAGAGAACTCTGCAGATGAGAGGAACAGCATGATACCACTACTGAAAGTAAAAGCAGTCGTATAGTAAGGACATAACCTTTGCTGAAAAAAAGGTTGAATGAAAAACGCTGCTCAGCATGAGACATCTTTCAAGTTTCTATTCATAGAATAATTTTGTAACAGAGTTACACTGACTATGGGACAGTACAATAAGGCCTCTCAAGTTAAAAAGCGTAAAACTAGTCTGCTGTGGCTAAAAACTAAGTTATTAGTGTAATTAATAGACCTCCTAGTATTTAAAAAAAAAAAAGAGCGAGCCAGAGAAGTAGAGCACTCTTCCATACACACTTAATGTTGTTATTACAATCGCACAATTTTGGGAGCAAGGTTAAAATGATCTTGAAGACCTACCTTCAGATGGTATATCTGCTCTTCTGTATCCAAATCTATACATTTCGTTGATTTCTTCACAGACATCACAGAAAGTCCAACATCAATACAGCCATGAAGCTTTCCTCTCTCTATCTGCAAAAAATAAAATAACCTCAAAAAACCCCCCAAAAGAGCCTTCATAGTAAAACCACTATGATTACTCTGGAATGGAGCAAAAGGACAGACATCAACTGCTAGAGCCATCATTTTTCCCCCGTCTCGCTTCAACCTTGTATTTAAAACGGTTGAAACTTTACTTCCACTTCCGAATAACATGGAAATATTACTATTTGAGATAAAACACTGTATTTACCTTAAAATGGCCTTACAAGGTTTAGGACTACTTACATCAGCTTTGCATTTAGAATATTTCAAAATCCCTCTGTCCAAAAAGAAGTATCTCTGAAAGCAGAAAGTCAGTCTTTTTTAAATAAATAAATAAAGCATCATGAAACAACTTAAGTACTTTCTTAAGAAAACACATTCTCTACTCTTAAATAATCTTTTTACAATGACAACATACCATGCAAGTCACATTAACATGGCATCAGGCTTTCAGAGACACATTTCTTTCTTACCTTGTGCCAGCCTTTCAAAGGCCATTTCCTCTTTTTCAGCAAGCAACCTTCCTGCTTCTGTGGTTCTTGGGTACAATTCATTGCTCCCCGGAGTCCTTCTACAATTTCCCAGCTGTCCTGCTTAAACAAAAAAATCCAAACCTAGATCTTATTTCTTCCAAGGAACAGAACTGTTAGGAGAGATTCAAGAAGAGGAAGACTGTAAGCAAAAGAAAACAAAAGCATGCTGAAATCTAACCTTAGATCCTTCTTCATTCTTTGTTACGTATGTCCCAAGGCACTGATTCTCTTTTAGATTGAGAGAGACAATATAAACTAAGCAAAAAGCTATTCTTCTGACACCATCTCTTACTGAACGTACATGCTTACCAGAACTGTATATAAGCTCTCGCTCCCTCTACTTACACGTACGCACACTGCATAGCCACAGGCTAGCCACAGTTCAGCATAAAAAGCTTTCTGCTGTCACAGGCAGAAACAGCCTATGCTAAAAGGACATGTTTTGTAGGTTATGAGGTAGAAGTAAAAGATTGGGAAAATGAAGACCTTTTCTATAACGTTCTTTTGCCTGTAGTCAGCAACTCAAGGTTTTGTGTTTTGCTGTGAATTGTTGTCTCCTTAAAGCAAAAGAATTAAAAAAAATAAAAAATAAAAAAAACAAAAAACCAAAAACAAAGGAAAAAAAAAACAAGGGAAAAAAGCCAGGGAAGCAACGCAAATACTATGAGGAACATGATGTAAAGGCAGAGAGTGAAAAATAAAAATCACACTTCATCATATACGTCTCTAATCTAAATATGATCTCTCTTTTCTGAGACGAGTAACTCTTGAATGAAAGACCCTGTCGCAATATACAATAGAGAAGAGAATAAACCTGATGGCATTTTTAAAGTTCTTACTTATGGAAAAACTGCTAATGACAATATAATACAAATTTAAATATTTCTGATCTGAGATCTCACTCATATAAATTATCTCCTGTCAGCTATTCAAGATTTGAAATTATTAAGTGATCGAAAACTGCATGTGCTAGCACCATTGCCATATACATGAAAAAGACAGAGAACACTAATCTGGAGAATTTAGTGATATCAAGGACTAGTAAGAAACACTAAAGGAAGAACAGAACTATACCAGGTAGCTGAATATTTGTGGGCCTCCATGTAAATTACGTAGGGACGTATTTCCCATAAAAGATTGACCCAAAACTCCAAAACAAAAATGAAACAAGATCTGCAGTGTGCTAGCAATGCTCCTTTATCCATCCCCAGCTACAAGCAACTCTAAGCTGCTGATGCAGGGGAGTGTTTCTGCACTTTTAAAATATGAAAAAGAAATCCTTGTTAAAAGTTCACTTTGGACTCATGCCATTTTTCCCTTTAGTAGGGAGAGGACAGTAGTTAAAACTAATAAAAAAGTCACAGAATTTAGAGACATGCACTCTTCATCAAATATACTTGCTCCAATTAATTTTTTAAGTGCCAAAAATGCAACAGCCCTAGAATCCTTAAAAAAAAAAAAAAAAAAAAACACACGCAAAACACACAGGTAACATGCTCATGACCAGAATAACAAAGCACAGCAGCAAACCATCCTGAAACAGGCATTCATTAAGCAGTGTAAGCAACATGAACTCCCATTCGTCCATGTTCCTGGGGGTACGACTGTTTTGTCATTCTCCTTGCACTGCACTTTACGGAACAAACTGCAAGGACAGTCTGCTTCCCTGGATGGGAGTTCATCCTGCCAACGCTGCACAACAGGCCACAGGTATTAGAAATGCGAGGCTGAGCAGCTCCCCTCATTAAATATCCTCGAAGAACACCCAATGATGCTCTACCACCTGCAGGTAAGCCAAAATTGCAGTTGTCCTAAAGGCAGTTGTTACCATAGCAAACATGTTGTGCCCTTACAGCTTTTTGTTTTATTCTTGGCAGTTTTGTAATAAGCAGTTCCTTCACTCCCTCCAACCAGGAATATTTTTGATGGCTACTTAAATACCATTATTTTTAATCAACAGTTATAAATTTACATTTTTCCATTATTGAAAAAAAAAAATCAAAGTAATGCTCCATTTTCTTTACTTTTGATCTTTCCTTATTTGGGACTCACTTCTAATTCTCAATACTCATCAACCCTTTCCTGCTCTGGGACAAATTACCATCACATCAGATCTGGGAACAGAGAACGCACTCAGACACTAAGAATAAGTAGCTTGAACAGAAATCAAAACCCTTTTGGGCTGGGTCTTGGGCTCCCGTGTCCAGCACATCAGCCCAATACAAGCTGGAGCAGCGTACGCCGCTCTCACCTGCTGCTAGAAACCAACAGCACGAGTCTTTTGCAGGGTGAGGTGGGGAGACAAAGCAGAGCACCAGCTTGTGCCCTCAGCATGACAGTTAAGTGGAGTCTGCTAGCTGCAGTTTGACAGCTATTCAAGCACAAAGACAGCTATAAGCTGCAACAATTACAGACTTTTCTTTTTTTGGCACAGCATTCCAGTCTACCATCTTGAAAACCCAAAAAAGCATTCCACCATCTCCTTGGCCAGAAATGGAAATATTAAACCACTGAATGCTTCCTGTACTGGTTTTGGATCCCTCTCCCCGCCCCCCCCTTCCAAATTATTTATTAACCCTTAAAATAATCACAAACATCAGGACTGTTAAGAGAATATTCCAGGATGCTGATTTCTGTCATCAAATATGGTATAATGTTATAAAATAATGTTACAAATTCTTATAAAACTAAGTAGTATGCAATAGATTATTCCCCATTTCGCTCTGAAGTTTTTCACTGCAGTGAAATCCCATCACGATATCACTGCCTGAGAAGTCAGTGGTCCCCCCTCCCGCCAGAGCACCCGTCTCTTGCCCAGCATCCTCCAACACAGCTCTTGGGGAAACTTACACCCAGCAGCCCCAGCAGAAGTACCCACAGCCCCACAGGCATGAAAAGGAAAAGGCATTTCTCCATATCCAGACCTACCAAGGTGCCAAGCCAGCTCCCAAAACAGGGTGCAGTGACAATCACAGGTATCTTTCAACAGTTTGAGTCTCTTCCCTTTACTACTGGGAAAAATCTCCATTACGTAACCTCAGCTCAGTTTGGCAACGTTAGTGCGGTGCCCATCCTTTAGGCTAGTGAACTGGAAGCATTAATAATAAAATAACAAAATAATAAAAATCTCATTTTAACCTCACCAGGTCACATTAACTAGACGCTTCCTGGCCCAGAACAATAGTTTGTAACTGCACTGTAAGTAGTGTTTCCATTTTGCAGGCTATAAACGTAAAGGTGACAGCAGTTGCTGTTTGGGGCAAGAAACCAATTTTATGATTCACATTAACTGAGCAACAGCTGAACTGACTGCTACAAAAGGGTCCGTGTGTGAACAAAATTTCCTCTCCTCAGGAAGCATGTTCTACTAAATGAACTAATATGAAAACTAATCTTGACATTGACCAATTTCAAATCGGCAGCTCAGAAAAAGGCAAATATTTTAAAAAGTGAGAAAGCTAAAGGAACTAGTGAAATATAATTTTGATTAAGAACTAATGGAGTACCTACAAGTTTAAAAAGAGCAGTGTGTTTCTGTATGGTTTTTTTTCCCCCTCCTCCTTGAAACTGGGGAGAAAGGTTTAAACTCTGTCAGGAGAAGCTTACCAAGCAGGCAGCTCCCATTGCCTTGGCCAAGATGTGCTAAACTGCAGTCCCCAAACACATAATTTTTCCACTGATACTAATCTGATAGTCAAGGCTGCTGAAGAGTAGATCCTTTTTAATATTCTAGGGTTAAGCCTAATGAAACAAGTTTCTTGAACACTGGATCCAATTCTCATGGACTTTTGCTAAGCTTAAGAACAATACGTTGTCGACAGAGAGGTCAACTGTGGGAGACAAGTAGAACGCTGCAAACAGTTAACAAGATAGCAGAATGAGATTCACCTTTCTATAAGGACACGCTTAGGAAGAAATGGGCTTCTGAAGTGAGACAGATGCATGCTACATTGAGGTGACAAAAAAGGAAGCAGCTGAGATACATTTCAACCAGCTACATCCACCCAGAATATACCTGGCTCAGCTAAAAAGTTCAGGTTAAACTTTTAAATACAGAGCACATCCTGGTCTACATCACAAATACAATTTTGTCTGGGCCTCTCCTCATTCCGGGCACAAGACAACACCTACAAGCTCCTGTAGGAAAGCAACATTTTGCACTGTTCCTCTAGTCCCCCAAGGCTGCCAAGACAGTGTTTTTTTCCATTATTGGAGTGGAAAATGAGAGTGGAAAATGAGAGAAAGAGCTGAAGTAGAAGGACCGTTTCCCATGAAAAGGGTCCCAGCAGAGACTGAAGGAGCTTCTTATGGTATAGTTAATGTGCCACACTCACAGCACTAAACATGATCCTGCCAAATCTCAGATGAGAACAAGTCTCTCCTTACATTTCTGTCTTGTTCTGTGGGAGCCTCATGCTTCTTCAACTGCAAACTTTAGTTAGAGGGAATTTTAGCTCCAGCTGAACTAGATCCTTTTAGAAGCACGAGACTTCTTAATTAACCTCTGAATTACCCAAAGACAGACACAGAACAGTAGACAGAATTAGCAATTTGGGAGAACTGTTAGATAACCATAAGACACAACCCTGCAACAACAACAGACATTTGTTTGGTCCTGTGCCACATCCATCTAGCCAGAAGAGTCGCATCTTCCCTACCTGAACCCTCAAATTCCCAGAGTTTTCAGAACACTGCTGCTGTGACTGTTTTCGGATTCATTTTGCTCTTGACCCAAACCCTGTAAGATCTTGATTAATACTTTGTTTTACAAGAGATCTGACACCTTGTTTAATGAAAAAGAAGTTTTAGTTGCTATTGCTGGGACCAGCTGCAAAGGAAAACTGCTCACTCTCTAAAATTAAGGCAAATGACTCAGGCTGGTTGGTTATCATCTGTTGTCATCTGTCTGAAATAGCAGAGGAGCAAATTGGAAATACAGGATTTCCTGAAAGCTGCTGGAAGCATTTAGATTATGCTCCATTTTGCTGATTCTTATCCCACAGCAAGGAACTGAAAAAATACCCCATATCATAGTGATAAATAAAAATAATAAAAAAGCCACAGCTGAACGGTGTTAATGATGCTAGCATAGGCCTGGTGTCCAAAATAGTACAGTCTTAAGGTTATGGCACTTCAAAAGATTTGATATTGAAATGGGTCAATATCTGCACAAAGTGATCATCACTCCTTTTGCTGCCTGAGACAGGAATTCAGTCTATAAGGCCAAGGGATGTACTATTGTTACTTCTCTCTGATCCAGAGGTCCTCATTTCAGATCAGCACTGGAAATTTATATTGTATTTGCTACTTGGGTTATATCTGCTCTATGGCTGAAAAAAACCAAAACCCAAACTGCACACTTTGGTCTTCAACGATAACTAGAGTTATCTAATTACAGACTTGTTTTCTTTATTTAATAAACCAAAAGTATCCTGATTTTCTACAATATTCTCTACCATACAACTCCTCAAGGCCATAAATTATTTCAGCTGAAGGAACAAAGTAACAAATTTGAATGGCTCTCAGACTCATGCTTGTTCTTGAAACTCCTTGAGCAAAACAGATGAGTGCCAGACTTTCTTCCAGTGTAAAACGCAGTCAGTTGTACCGAATATTTTAAAGCGCCAAAAATAGAAAGCTCCTTTGTGGAGGATAGGGGTTTGCATCAGCTGCAACTAAAGCATTTATTACGGTTCATAAAATTGGCAGAAGTGATTTATTTTCTTTTTTAGAATATGAGGTTTTTTTAAGCAGTTCTCCTGTCACAAAGCTATTCCCTACTGTATCAATTTGAAAAGTTGGTTAACACATTAGAATTAAAAAGTTACTATCATAATATATCTTCTTCTGATTGTAGGTCAATTTAAATTTAAAGATCAACAACAGTTTTCCTTCCTTACAAAAAAAGTTAGGACTGTGGCTCTGTGGAAGCTACCCCTTTATGTGACTGAAAGAGAGGGAGGAGAAAAGAGCACAGGGTGGATGTGGCAGTAGCTTCCCTCCTGTTACGGGGCTTTAAGGTGAAGGTGAACTTAGAAAAGGATTAACTGTCAGTGTCTTCAGGTCACACTGCAAACGTGTTGTGGCAAAAAAAGGACATTAAGATTAGCAAAGGAGGAAATGTCAGAGTCCTGTAGCACTGCTTAAATCAAGTGGTCCACTGTCACGTGGAAGAACTTGTGCGTCACAGGACTCTACTTATGCTCCACGCCACTTTCACATGTTGCTCTGTGGAGAGCAATAACCAAATTTTAGCAGATGCTGGAACCCCAGGGGTATCCTTATGCCACCATGATTCCATAACCCCAGTCTCAAGTCACTACTGTTCCTCAGTACCAGCGCGTACCCACAATGGAGCCCCTACTTGAGAAACAGGGAGGCTCACAAATCAGACCTCACTAATTCTGCAAAAATCTGGCATGGTTCTTTTCCTCCTGAGCTTTTCCAGAGATTCTTCCCACTTAATCAGATTAAAAGAACTGCCTTGTCAGACAAGCAGCACAGTCCTTTTGGCAAAACAGAAAGCAGCACGCAAGCAGGTCTGTCATCTAGCAAGCAAAGAGCAGCCCATTTCTGAAGGTGCCTTGAGAAGGACCTAAACGTTTAGAGGAAGAATAAGAAGTCTTCCACGGAACTGGAAGACAGAGGAAAGAATATTGTAACCACAGCACTTTGCCTTCCACTCAGCAGAGCACACAGAAAAATTATTTACTTTCAGGATGCTGCTAATAAAACCACTGGTGTTACATTGTACTCTCTTCTTCCAGGGCTTGCAAATCAAAATTCTGCTGGAGCCAAGTTGTGCATATGGTACTTCTTTGGTTTGAATTAGGTGATTCTCACTGTTGTTTTTTTGTTTAGTTTAGTTTTGTTTTAGTTTAGAAGAACTTTATACAGTTGGTGTTCTCTTAATAGAGGACCTAAAGTGTTGTCATTTAAACCAACGCATGCAGATGAAAATAACAAATTAACCCTCAGACAAAGACATCACTCATCCACAGTCTTGTCAGCAGGCGGGTATTAGTAGGGGTGGACTGTGAAGCTCCAACTTACCAGTCCAAGAGGCTGAGTGTAAACAATATAAACAATGATATAAACAATACTTCTTGATCAAATGTAACAAGAAATCTTCTTGGGGAAAGGAGGACTGAGAAATATCTTGATTTCTTTGTTGCCTAGACCAAAAATTCAAACTTTATGCTAGTTAAAAAAAAAAAAAAAAAAAAAAAGAGTATAATTAACAAGACACAGACCTTTATAACTTGCAAGACTAGAAGCTTCTGGGAGCAGGAGAAGGGAGAACAGAGCTGTTCCTCACCAGAAAGACTGTTGTGTCCAGGCTAGTAAGTCAGCCTTGTGGAGTACTGCCTCTGTTAGTCCTAAAGGTCTATTTTTCCACATGCAGCAGAGAAGACTATTTATCAAAACATTCAGTGAAACATGCTGCCAACACAAACTACAATTAACAAAGAAATTTAAAAGCCATAACAGAAAAAACAGTCAGCACAAGTTTTTTTTTCAAGTAAATATCCAGACAGAGTATATATTGTATGGGGTATTTAAATCTTTGTTTTCCCCAGCAAAAGAGTTTGTTCTACAAACCGCATGACAGCTTCAATGTGAGAAATCAGTCACGTGTAAAATACCAGAAGCATCAGAGTGTTAAGGAAGGAACAGCAATAGTACCGCCAGGCATATATAAACTGATAATTCTGGGGGGAAAAAAAATTGTGATTCAGAATTAATTTGGGTTTTTATTTTTCCTTTCTAGATTTAGCTAGATTGAGGGAAGACCTCTTGATCACTTCAGCAAGGTTTAGATGCAAAGTTATAGTATAAGTATCTAATCTAGGAAGTTACTGCATTTGGTAAAGGAAGGAGTGGAAATGTATTAAGGAATCCCCTACAAATATTAGAAGTCCTCACTAAGGAAAAAAAAAAGAAAGAAGAAAATACATAAATACAAGTGGAGCCTTAAGAAACACACGTAGTTTCTGAAAAGGTGTTTCTAAATTCCATGCTTCCTTTACATCGGTCAGACCTTTTAGTGTTATTTAGTGATCTTTTCACAGGATACAACAAGCAACATGAACCACTCCAGCTTCTGCAGGCTTCATTCTGTCGTTAACAGAAGACATGGACAAGTCATTGAACAGATGTGCCTCAGGTTCCCTAGCTGCAGAAGTATACTACTACTTACTTGGTATTGCAATGACCAGTCATAAAAAGAAGAGAAATACTGAAACATTAATCATAAATGGAGACAACTAGCACCATGCTCCATATTATCATGAAGAAATAAAAACTATGTTGCCTTCAATATACATCAGGAAATAACTCACTTTATACCTCTATTTAACTTGATCTGATAGATTTATGAGGCAACTTGCTGTCTGCCTGACTACAATAAATGAACATGGATGTACCAGAATTACGAACAAAACAGTAAGGTGCATCTCTCACCTCTGTCCGCTATACCTTGCATTTTTGTACAGGCTAGCACAAAGGCTACAAATCCAGAAGCGGACAGGGTGACATTAAACCTTACTAAATTATTCTCTTCCTCTGAACAAAGCGTGTGAAAACTTTTGTTCCTTTGGGTAAGGAATGGGACTGGCTAACAATACAATTCCTGGACAAGAAAGTTGAGCTATACAATAGATTTGGTAGTTACATGGAAGCGAGCAGCCTTTCTGCAGAAATTCCCTCTGTATAAACATAATTGCTTTTACTGGCTATACAATATACTAGTGGATTTAGTCATATTCATATAAGTTTTATTCTTAAAATACTATATAACAACACTTGAATGACATCAGCTATTGGAACAGAAAATACTAATGCTTTAAAATACACTTGTTTTGAGGTTATCTCACACTAAGGATATGAGAAAAATAATATTGCAAGAAAGTAAAAGAGTACCCTGAAAGTAAGGATTTCCTTGCTCAGTGTACTAGAAATGCATAGGATTTCTTACAATCACAGCACTTTAAAAGGCAAAATTTATTCAGAAGTTTGTCTGCCTTTCCAATTGTGTGTGCAGGGCCTTAAGTCCCAGAAAAGCAGGTGCTATTTCAAAACACAGCTGAGGTCTGCAAAGCTTTCAGGGGGCAAAGCTTAACGTGTCAAGCAGAGGCAGCTTCAAAAGCTCCACTAAGCCAGCATCTGTACAAATAAAACTTATGCTGAGCATACTGCTCACAATCCTTTTGCAAGCATGGCTGAACTATGTTTAGAGCTTAATTCTCAGCATGGCTAGAGGTCAATTTTTCTTGCCCACACACAAGAGCAGTCTTCAACATAGTCTCACTCGTCAGGTACTAATGCTCGTAGGCTTAAGTTTTAAAACTCTAAAATTAAAATATAGCATAAATAATAATATCTGAAAAAAACAGTGTTTGGTGTTTCATATGGTATTAGGCATCCAGACCCATCATGCTACACAAGTATTTTCTTAACTACAGTTCTACAGCACAAATCAGCGCTTTTAGGCACATTTTCAGTTTCAATAGGGGCTCTGCGTCAAGTTTCAGAAAAATGCATCCTCTTCCCACACGCATGCACATCTTTCCCTGGAAATCTGAAATAAGCAGAGCTGATATACAATATTCTACCACAGAAGTGGTACATTCTAGGGAAGATTTGGGATTTCAGGACCAAACCACAGAAATCGAGTGTCTTCAGCAGCAATGCTTCACTAGAGAAGCAGCATGCATACAATGTGATAAGAATTTGAACTAACTGTTAATCATTCCAGTTTTACAACTGCCTGATATCCAGTAAGGTGTGTGTACTGCACTTGACTGAAAAGCAGCAGCTGCCACCAGCAAAAACAGAACACAGAAGGAGGAAACCTAGAAACAACAAGATAAAACAAGCAAGCAACAGGAAAACAAAATTTCAGAGAGTTGCCGATACCCAAAAACAAAAGTAACACCCAATCTTGATAACTCTCTTAGTTTGCGGTGGGGGAGAACTTGTATTACCTGTCGACTTCCTTGCTTGGAGGAGCAGCTGCTAGTACTTCTTGAAGGAGACAACATTTTCTGGGATGCACCAAGGCTTTTTTCTTCATTCATGATTCAAAGACAATTTGTTTCATATGAACTCAATTAGAACACCACTAAAAGGGCATTAAGCAAATGTACTGGAAGACTCCCGAGAGAAATCTTCATCCTTTATCCAATGCATGATCTGCATCTCATGGAAATTCCTGAAAGGAGGAAGAAAAAACAAAACCAAAACCAGACCACAGGTTAATCGAACATAGTTTTTTATTGCCATCCTGCAACACGAATCAAGAAATCATGATAAAGCCCCCAGTAATATAAACTGACTGCATTGCTGTACACCATGAGAAATTAATTGAACAAATGCCTTAGAATAATCTTCAAGCATCAAATAGGAACAACTTTGGGCTCTAAATGCATGCTTTAATTAACATTACTTAAGGCAGAACACAATTGAAGTACAATATCAAACATCTTTTTAAAGATTTAAACGCTAGTCAAAAAATTATGAAAGATGCACAGAATATGTTTAATATCTGCATAGAAAGGACTGCAGCATTCTCAAAATCAGGAAAAAGCATCTAAAAATGTCTTGCTAAAAAATAAACCCAAAGAATTGTTAGATATCTCTTTTCCCAGTTCCTTAATAATTTAAGTATATGCGGCTTCAGGAGGAAAGGGAAAAAACCCAAGAGATAGACTGAAGTAAACGTCACGCAAACTCAGCTACCTAGAGCTCTGCACAACTTAATCCTACCCAAAATCAGAAATTCGTAGCTACTGTCACATCTATTTTCTAAGCCAGTGACTGGAAGAATAATTAATAGTTTGTTTAATAACAGTGGTGGTTGCAGCATGTGCAAAAAAAAAAAAAAAAAAGCTATGCTAGTAACTTCAAATAGCGGATTTCCAGTGTGGGCACGAGTTGCCACAGTAACTGCTTTTTTTTCTTCTTTAAAACCAAACAGAGGACGTAAAAGGGTGATGCTTTCCGAGGCTCAGGGGAAGAGGGCGTGGGCTTTTGCAAGTTGTATATCACTTCAGATTTTAGTGTTTTGGGCAAGGAAGTTGCGCATTAGGAAGAGTGAAAGAAACACCACCTAGGAAGGTAAGGAAGTTCCCACAAAGAGGGGGGAAAATCCCATTTCTGACGTAAGGAGGCATTACTTCACAGTCTGCTTGTTTGCTTACACTGTCACACTCGTGAAACCACACTGAACCAGCATTTATTTTTTCTTGAAGAGGCTCAAAACACTATTCCAAAAGAAGTAGCATTTTAAGACCCCAGTGAAATTCTTTGGGTATATTTTAAGAGTTCAACTTTCCTTTTTTAAAGATGCTATATTTAAGATGAAGACAATAGCGTGCCACAGAAACATCTCTCCCTACTGCTACAGTTTGCAAATTTATGCTAAACAACAGAGATGAGACAGTCCTCGTCTCCCAAAGTTACGTTGAGAAAGACAGCTCTGCTAAACTACTCACTGGTGAGTCAGTGTGGCAGTTATTTCCAGTAACCATCAGAGCCAACAAATACAAAACAAGAACTTGAGAAAACCAGAACAGCACAGTGATGCGATAACAAGAGCTGAGTTGAGCCTTGTGCACAGGTTTCACACTTAAAGTACTATTGAAATTAGGAGCAGTGGATGTTGGAGAGGGTATATTCTCTTCCTATCTGGAAGACAAATTTTCCACATCGCACTTCATTAAGGACTATTACTCTTAAAGGCTTTTATTTTAGCTCACTTTATGCAGGTTTTAAGCTGCTCAACTAAGCACAAAACATGACTTTCTTGATGAGTTTCGAGCTGCATTTAGTAAAACAGTATCTCTGCTTACAAGCAGAGGTCAAATATTCAGGACAGCAATGCAAAAATGTTTAGGTGAACTCACAGTTCAGATAATGCCTTGAAAGCACCCTGCAGCGAGTGTTTTACTAATGCACACTGTTTACTCAGTAGGCAACACTGTTGTCTTCACCACCCAATGTTCAAACTGAGCCATTTATCACTCGGTTTCCATTGTGGATTATCTAGCGTTTTGGCAAAGATCAGCACACTTCATGACAAGAAACAGGCTCTAATTTGCAGCTAAACGCACTGAGAGCTATTGTTGTCAGGACCTTGCGAACATATCCCCAGCGCATACCGGTATGAATTATATGGCCCCCTCTCCCCTTGCCCATTTTGAACACACAGCACAACGGGGGTGATGTCCTGGAAGTTTTAGATAACTGAAAAATATAGCGATCTCATTGATTTCAATACAAAAAGGAGGCATGCAATCAGAAGAGCGTTTCTATCATCTTTTTTTCTTTTTTCAGTGTAGAGTCTAACTGAAACTAAGGTGTGAGCACACTAGCATTTTAGCACAGATCAGAAGTGCACTTCACTTGCAAGTCTCCTGATCATCCCCCTTACTTACCACCTTTTGGTTTGCACTGCAGAACAGTCTTAGAGCATGGAAACCAAATTCTGTTAAGATGAAATGAAACCAGCAGATATGCTCCAGGAACGTACCTAGCGCTTACAGCATTCAGTCTAAGGCACCAGAGTAGAGCTAGCCCCAACACAGGTATAGTGTGGATGTGGGGTCCTCATCACTAACTGGCTCACTGCAGAGGTCCATTTGAACTGCGCTGCCCCACTCGCCAACATAGACACAGCCCAGACTTGGACTCATGCCACCTAACTTTGGGCATCCAGTCGAACACTTGAGGGAATCTATGGCAACGTTATTTGTCCTTTTGGAACTAGAGATGGGCACTTTTCTAGATTTCAAGTGAGCGTACCCAGAGTCTGAACTGTCCTCTGACATTGCAGAGTTGAAGATGACGACTCAGCCATCTAATCTGAGGGGCTTAAATGAGGGGCAGGAGACAGGTGGGATAAATCCGACACAGTTCATCTGCAGTAGCCCTTTGACACAGTCCACCTTTAAAGAAGGGCTTTTGTATTTTTCTTTATTTCTCCAAATTAACTTACTTTGTGAATTGAAGAAAAGGCTTTTGTTACCAGCCCGAAAAAGGCAGGAGTGAAACCTGTCTTCTGTTTAAAGCCTTTTCTCTTACTATTTTATTGGTGTTTCCCAGTAACTTAAATGAGAGTCTTGAGAATTCTGGATTTGAACATGAGAAAGGGTGTGTGAATGCTGCACATACCTACCACCTCTATTAAAACGGCTGCATCCTCCAGCAACCACTCTGTGCTCTCCTTTTTAAAAAACACACTCTTCTCAAAGTTCAGAAAGAAAATGTAGTTGTCTTTCAGTAATAACTAAGTTATTCTTTCAGTAAGGTGTGAATACACTGACAATTCATCCCAAATAGACCCTCGTGCTCTGGCTACCAGCAGGAGTCTCCAGGCCTCCCTGGGGTGGATCATATTTTATGTTACCTGTGAAACTTAGGGCCGTGAGGTACAACAGTATTTAAGACTTTAAAGCAAGCATAGAGATCAGTAGCGTACTCAGCTGAAATTGTAGCAGGCTGTTGTGTTTTGAGGTCATCACAACCCCTTCACTTCTGCTTCAGTATTTTTTTGGTCCTGCCCAAGCCACAGGATTTGTTTGCACCTTTTCTCTGAAGCACACAGTACCAGTTACTATGGTTTATTCCAAAAAGACAAGTCAAAGGTGTGAGGCTGAGGCAAAGTCAAAAAAATTTAGAATGAGGATTTTCACAAGTGCTAAGTATGTGCCTAACTCTCAAGGCAACTGCAACAGAAGTAGGCCAAGAGAGTACTCTTAACAAATGACATCTCACCAGATGCATTTTACAGAATTAATAGTAAAAGGGTAACAGATAGTATTTCTAGCTTTTGTATCCTAAACCTATAAACAGCACCTATCCGCTACTTGTCATCTGCTAAGAACTTTATCTTTCTACATCAATTAAAGCAAATGTAAACAGATGACAATATGTTCAACAGGAAGACTTGCTTTATTTAAAAAAAAAAAAAGTATCATCTTGAGTTATCCTCACAACTTTAAGGCAGTTTCTCAACATCAAAATTCATCTCTTGCAACTCTCAAAGCGAACAGCAAAATTTAAGCTTTTCCACAGCTCACAAAAGAAGAAAGGTAGACATTCAGAAAAATCTGGAAAGCTGCAGTAAGTACGGAATCAACATTTAGACAATTATTTTTGTTATGGCTCTGGAAGAAAAATAAAGACTTAACAGCTGTTTCAGAGCTGATTCAGCAGTGAAAGAGCAATGTAGAGAGC